GATGTTGTCCTTAGGAGAATAGTAATAGGAATTTTCAATAGTTAGGGACTTTTAACTCACTTTCAAACCACTTTTTTGCGGGTTCTTGGATTTTCAAAGATATATGGTTCTGCAGGAAATTGCTTCCGATCACTTTTTTAATGCAAGATATACGTTTATCATCCTCTCTTCCAATGCAAGTTGTACATTTAAAATCAAAATTTCAAGTTTCTTTTCTTTTTGCTCTTTAGTGTTTGTTGTCACCTTATTATTTTTACATGTTCCTGACAGCTCTGGCCCACTTATGCATGGGCCCAAAGTAAAAATAATTCATCTGCCTAGGGTGTACTATGTGTATTTATACATCATATGTGCAATAAATATATATAAGGGTTTCTATTATTAAGATCAATTTCCTCGTCTGCGATCTAAGTTTTACAGCGCAAGATTTCAAAGTTTGTTTTCTTCTCACTCGTCGATAATGTGATCACCATTCACCATAGTCGATTATCAGTTCTCGTCCAATAATATTAAGTTTTCTAATCTCGAGGTCACGACCTACTATATCATTTGTTCTTCCAGTATGCGACAATCTATCGTTTTGAAAGCTCGTGTCTACGACATGGAGCAAGCAGAGAATGCAATCTTCGACCTTACGGAATCGCTTGGCACATTTTTCGTGCAAGAAGATGTCTACTTCAAGGTGCCCAAAGGAAATCTTAAACTTCGAATAATGCATCCGAATGTAAGTAAATTTTTTGAAGTATACATTATTTATTTTAATTGCATTTGCATTCTTTCATATAATAATGTTTTCTAAATTTACTACATGAATCTTAATGGAAGAGCAATGATAGCTATACTTCATTTTTTTAACTCCACTATTTCCGTAGCAGTGCTGCAGCCTATTTCAAAAATCAACTTAGCTGTCTGTACGCTTCCAACTTTCTTATCACCTGTTTGTCATTCCAATGTCGTTTGACGAAAGACCTTTTGTCCACAATGGTCTTATCTGTAGAAAAAATAGATACTCTTTGTTCTTTGACATCTCTTCTTGCACAAAAGTGGGTCTGGGGTCAACG